TGCTCACTCGGCATGTGATATTATTGACATGACAACAGTCTGTGGATTTTTTTGTTTGCCTGATGTTCACTTACTACCCTTATTCCTTAAAATTCGTTCCCTCTCCTTCCAAATGCAGCATGGTTGTCCACGCAGGAACACATTTTCCACAAAATCTACCTTTCGCGTATTATGACAACTTGCTTTCCTGGACAAGTTTTTTGCTCTTTATGAGATAAAGTTTTGGTTTCATCTGAAATGTCAGTCTTCCACTGTTCGTGGGCTCACTTCAAATTCGTTTAACACATGCCTGTCTATTTTTCTCGTTTATTTCTAATACCCTCGATGTAAACATTCTAGTAAATACAGCTTCAGTATCAAAAATCTGGACAGAGTCGTTTGACGGCCCAAGACTCAATCTAAGATATCACCAATGTACCGCAAAACATTCTTGAAACACAGTAGACTGATGATCCAGTGTCTTGTAACTAACTTCATCTCCAAGTATTCCAGGGCACACTGTATGATATAACGTAAGTAACTTATAGGTGTCGAACGTTCTAACTGCTTAGGTGGTTAAAGGTGCTGCATCACAAAAATTTAAACGCAGACTTGATGCTAGCCTGTGATGTAGGAGGACGATGGATCACAGGTATTTCACATCTCCTTTGTGATTTCAGTTTTTCTTTTAGTCCGCTTCCCGCGTAGGTTTGTTCCACAGCTGGCCAGTAAAAATCATCATCCAACCTTGGACCCAGTGGCTCCACATGCTGAGGAAAATTGAATACAAATGGTTTGTTTTTGTAGAATAAAGCAACTTCCGGTCACAGACCAGTCTTTGTCTTTTTATTTTCGGTGCTCAGCGCAGCATAAGCTTCTGGTGGAGAATAAATGCCATTCATATTCTGTCCAGGGGTCTCATCACTTTATTGGCGTCATAGTACTTCGTACTGTTCCGTCGCGCTCTTCATGTGTACACTACTAAACATAGAAGTCCGGAACTTTCGCAGATGTTTCAGGGGGAATTAAAGATAATATCACTTTTGCAGAGGGGCAAAACACCCGCCGCTCTGAAGCCTGAATAGCGGATGATATTTACCAAACAAACGTGCCAACTAGACTTCATCAAATCGGATGCAAGCACGCTCGTTTCCAGTCGTGAGGAACACAAAGATTCGAAAAGGTTTCGAAAGTTGCCAGTGCAGGGCTTCTACACCTTTTATCAACACCTAATGTGCTTTTCTGCATTCTAATTGATTGGAGAAACAAACCCTCCCTGGCGAGTTGCCGGCAACTTGGCCGTAATTACGGACAATGTCCGGCAGATATCACCCAAAACAGCTTGAAGTTTATACCTCCAAAGTGGTTAGATCAGTAAAATGGGATGGAAAGAATCTAAAACGGAGGAAGACCTTAGTAGAGAACCTGTCAAAAAGGGGAAGATTAAAACCACTTTGGGTAACTCCTCGTGAGGGTTGGTAACTTTAACTCTTCCGATGAACGCATTCGAGGGGAAACTGGGTCTTCACGACGAAACCTACTTCAGGGATTGACAGAAGCCAGACTGACCTACTGTCCCCATCACCGAAGAGTAAAAATTTTCTCTGCACGTCACTAATAGATTTCGGGTGTTTTGTGTCCAGGATGGGGGGATATTGGCCAACGGTGATCCTGCTGCGGAATACCTCCGTGATTTTCCAGCCCTCTTTTAAAAGAGTCGGTGGATGACGCGGACACCGCTTCTTCTGGCAGTGCGTCGCAGAAGTTGATTATTCGATACCAGAACTCTTACTGTACAGAGGCTACGTTGGTCTTCCGCCTTTGTATTCCCCTGCCATGTCCTCAGAGGTGTCTGGACCAGGTGGGATGGAAAGGAGAAGACGGACCAAGTTCAAAGTCAGTTTAACTATTCCGTATGGAGTGATTAGATCTCCTCTCTGTTTGTGGTAGGATAAAGAGAGCAGCTCCGGTTCATTAAGTCGGTCTTCATAGGTCACACTGGCCATCTCAATGATCATGCAAATGGCCACTCTCAGAACCGCTTACAGGTCTGATTCACCTTTCAGGCAAGGGTCTTCCAACTGTGTGGTCTTCCAGTTTGGACCCAACCAAAGGTGTGCATGAGTTGGTGAGCGTACCGCCACTTATCTTGAGAAACGTTCTGCTTCATGTCCAGTGTCCTAAGACTCCGAACTGCGACCAGTGGAGTGTCATGGTCCTTAAGTCGTATCTTGCTATGGCTCTTAGGCGATCGTGGTCCGGGTGTGAGGGAAGTGCAGTCGCATCAGTAGCATGACTGTTGCCATCTGCGTGCCCCATGTATTTGCTCTCACACTTACCTGCTTTGTTAGGCCTCAGTCACTTCCAGGTAGAGAGTTGAGAGTTCATCCTTACTCTTCGTACTCCACCAGCATGGAGCACTTTGATTCATGAAAAAGGATTGCCAGAGATTCCAAACCCTTCCAGCTTCCCGAGCAATCTGTAATGAGGTGCCTTGTAGGGCGCCCGGCTAAAGTTAATGAAAATGACGTCTACAGGTATCTTATTATCCTTAGACCCAACCCAACTTTCTCTGACCGTGAGAAGGCTCATCAAGTAAGAGAAGCTTCTGAGAAAGCCACACTGTGAACGAGGCAATACGGTGCTGCTTGCTAGGTAGGCTGTACTGAGTTCCCTGATTATTCTTTCTAGGATTTTAACCTCAACATAAGCCAAACTGGACGGCCTATAATTTAGTGCGTGTCGCCTAGAAACCGCCTCGCAGATGGGTGTGACTATGGTATCTTTCTAGTCATAGAGAATGTGTCTTCATTGAGGGATGGTCTAAAAATAGTAGTCACCTGGGCCAGCTATGCAGAGTGACAGCTCTTTGAGCAGCTTTGTGTTCAGCCCATTCAATTCCACCGGTTTTTATGCATATAGAGCTGTCATTGTCTTAGATACATCATTTCATTCGACGCCCACAGAGTTTATTCTGTTGTACGTCACTGTTTCCACTATTGAAGGTTCCTGGGTGAGATCCCGGCAGAATATCCAGCCATATCTTCTGCTTTTTCCTGGTGGCTATCAATCAAACTGTCGGCTTCTGTCTCTTCGATTGGAGCGGAATCATCATGATACTTCCCGTTACTATAGTTCATATAAGAAGACAACCTCTTTAGGCTCTGTTGTGCAGCCTGGATGAGGCGTGTTTCAAAGCATATCCGAGACCGGCAGGTAGCAGCAATACACTTATTTCGGACTGCTTCGTAAGGCTTTTTAACCTTGAGAGTATCGAGCTGGGTGATTGGACTCCAAAGTTTCTTCTGGAATCACAGTAAGCTTTGGACTTCACAATTTATCCATGGATGGTAAGGTTTCATGATAACCATAGGGTGAAGGGTTGAATCACTTGCGCACTTAGATGTTTGAAGGAGCATCACGCAGCCTCAACTGGGGCATCCGAATTCGTTCTCCAGTCCTCCAAAGGGGCTGTCAACTAAATAGCTGCCGTATTCGCTTTCTATGCATTGGGCCCAACTTGACAATAGGCCTGTCACAATGTGCAATCTGAAAATGATCACAGCACAATCACTTTCACCAAGGAGCTCATGATGCCGGATGAATCATATCATCTGTGGGCCAAAATACCAAATATAGAACAGATGGAGCATGCAGATGACCATGTCTGGTTGCTGCTTGATGTGCTGTGCAGGGGGCAGGGAATTTGATGCTTCCACTATTCTACGATCAAACGTACGGTGTGGTGCGTCTGTTGGTAGTCTCTCCCAGTCTCCTAAAACTAGGTATCTGCAGTTATCCGTCCAGACATTTGGCTTACCAAAAAGAAAGTTTTTACCTCGCACTCAGGGCTTCGATATGCCACAATTATGTCGACGCCTTGTCCCATGCATTTTAGTTTGCAGCAGAACAATTCACATGTCCCGCTTCGGTATGCAACCACTCCTATGGCTCTCGCTGTTGGGGTATTCTTGAGGTAAAAGGTGACAGTGTCACCTCTGTGTGCTGATCCACCACTTCTGAGAAGAACGAATCTTCGTAAGTCTGTAACGTTGCCACTGAGATAACAAGAATGCCAGAGCTTTCTTTGCTGATTACAAACAAGTTCAGTTCGCTTGCTTAGTTACTATGTGCACCTGTGTATAAGACGACGGAACCACTCAAATGAGTTTTCGCCTTACCCACGGAGGCCCACAGAACATTCGTTACTGGGGCCCCAATGCACGAAAATCCTCCACTATTAGATTTGTCTCTCCCGCTGCTAATCTTGATTTCAGTCCTACTATCTCTCGTCTTTCGGCTCTGCCAGCGCGCAGCGAATGCTTACGGACGAACCTTCCAGTTTCCTGGAGTCTGTAAGTGTTCTTCAGAACATTATCTTCCCCCTACGTTGATGTGAACCTGACCTTAGGTAGTCGAAACCTGTCTTCAACAGGGACTGCCCCTTTTCTGCCTACCCTATGTATCTCGAGTAGGAAGGTTTTCCGGTAACAGTTTGTTAACCACACTTTGTACCATACCAAGGTTAAAGTTCGAAACAGCTGTGTGATTCTGTGTCTCTTTTTTCTTCCATTCTGCAGAAGACTGAAGACTTTTCAGGCAGCTCTATTTTATGTTTGAAGGTATCCTGACCAACAATGGACTGGAGTGCCGACAGTTGGTTCCGTGACTTCGCAGTGGATTTCTAATTTTAATTCCGAAAGCTTTAGTATTTTTGGTTTTTAATGCGTTGTAGACATAGGGTGAAATCTCTTGATACAGTTTCACCTATATCACATTTTTGAACCAAGAGAATTCCCTGTTCGATACTATGGCGTTCCATCTGCTGAGCCTATTTCCAGTTTTCTCTCTTAACTAGTTTTTTGCTCTGAAATGGTCACATTAACAAAAAACTTCTTCCTTAACAAGAACTATTTCAAATGCCAAATTTGCTTTGGATTTGTTCAAGGTGTTAATTTGCTTGGGACACAGTTTTGGCGCGTTAGGTTCGCACGCGTGTTCTGTAACCCTGTTTAACGGAGATGGTTGTTAAAAAGGAAGTTAAAGAGAAGGCTGGTAATCCAATGCGGGAAATAAAAATCCAGAAGCTTTGTGTGGATATATGTGTCGGTGAAAGTGGTGACAGGCTGACCCGAGCCGCCAAAGTACTGGAGCAGTTAACGGGTCAGCAACCGGTTTTCAGTAAAGCACACAAAACTATTCGGACATTTTCAATCAGACGTAATGAAAAAATTGCTGTACACTGCACTGTCAGAGGTCCTAAGGCGGAAGGTAAGATATCTCTATTATTGACTCTTTTCAGAGATCTTGGAGAAAGGTCTGAAGGTGAGAGAGTACGAACTTCCAAAGTCCTGCTTCAGTAAGACTGGGAACTTCGGATTCGGGCTAACAGAACATATCGATTTGGGAATAAAATATGATCCTTCGATCGGTATTTATGGGATGAATTTCTACGTCATTTTAGGAAGACCGGGGCTGCGTGTTCGTTATCGGTAAGGCTTAATGGTTCAAACAACGTTTTTTAGACGCCGTTGTAAAAGTCGAGTTGGTAACAGTCATCATGTTCAAAAGGAAGAAGCAATGAAGTGGTTCCAGACTAAATTTGACGGCATATTACTAAACAAATAACTAATATATTGAGAGGTACTGGCTGTCGTTATCTACTTCTTAATCATGTTTGGTTGGAAATGAAAAGCACTAAGGACAGTCTTGGTAGTTTCAGTTACTTTAGTATGCGTGGTATTCCAGTTAGTTGGTTGTCAGTGATCGGTAATTTGATGAGTGTTCTGCTGTGTTAACAGTCAATATCGCCGGCAGTTTTCCCTGAAATCCATCCGTTCAGTAACCAAGATAGTGCTTTTTTAAATTTAATGCAAATGATTTAACTTGATATCTTCTGCTCGGTCATTTATTAAGACTGTACTTTTACGGTAGCAGTCAACCTCATTTAGGCAGTGTACATACCAGTGATCTGGAACCCTGCTAGCTTTACGACCTGGGGATGGTGTTTAGATAGTAACGGCGAATGCACAGGTTCCCTCACAAAACAGCGACACACCTGTACTAGGTCCGATGGTTGTTCCGTATGGCTGATCATTGAATCAGTTTGATAGTTAGTCATTCCATGTCTGCAGACCAGTTTCGTTACAATTTCAGGCTACATAAATTTTACTACTAGACTCTGAAACTCCATACTATTACCAAAACTTTGGTGGTCGCTTGCAGTGAATCGTAAGTAACCAAGTTCGTAGAAAAGGTATGCTAATTTTTTCTAGTCACTATGATATCAGAGTGCTAATAGAGGTTGCTAAAAATACGTAGTCACAATTCTTGACGGTGGATACTACTCGTGATGGTCAAGATAATGCTACAGCTTACACCGAAAGTGTCACGAAAATAACGAGGTCAGATTCTTCAAAATCCGTCTATACTGACAATGAAAAGGAAACCAGTCAGGATAGCCTATTTTAGATCCTACTCCGAGTCAAGTGTTATTATCTCGAATAAAAGCTGCACGTGTTGGGAGGGTCAATAATCACACCTGGCTGCCCACACCTCATCAGGTTGAACGAGGTTCGAACTCTTGACCTGTAGGTTGGAAGGCAATTACCTACCCCACTGAACCATAGTTCCAATCTGATTATATGGTCTGAGGCCAAGGTTTGGGTGAGTGAAGTTACTAACTAGGCTCCAACAGTTTCTTTTTTTTTGGATGCAACTGGCATATTGTGCTGACTCGAAAGACTACATCCAGGAGCCAGCCAGCGTGTTCACGAAGTAACCTATGAGACCTTATGATACTGTCTGACTATACCGACCTTGGTATGTGGAATGCCGTGCTAGCGCATATTAATTCTGTTTTTTACGAAGTCTTGTACGTTCAATGTTGATTTCGTCTGTTATTCCCGTTTTCTTCCCCTTTGATGGTGGTGTTATGTTATGACATGCACGACTGCAGATTTCTCCACTGTCTAAAGTAGAGAATGAAGCATGTCCTCAACTCAATAAACATTCTATTCTGGATTGTACTCAACAAGAGAGCTGTAGTCAGTGTTGCTGTATTATGAAGTTCAAAGCTGGATGCCTGTGATGGTTTTGTTTACCTAGAAGTCAGTACAATCACGAAGTGCAGTTGATTCCATTTATATGAAATGACACGTCACTTAATATTGGACTCTCCCTTACAAAACGATTATTTGACAGTCTGTCTGGTTATAACATGGTCACCGGGTCTCTGTTTTAACTGTCACCTGAAGTCATCCATTTGGTATTTCACATGAATCTGTGGGGCATTTGTGTATGTACTTGACTTTAAGCCAGTGGGTCATGGGTCCGAACTCGACTTTGCTGAGATTTGGGGAGTCAGCTGGTATCAATAGCCCTCGAATGATAGGTTAGGTATGGCTCAACCTACGGCACGTATGCTCACGTGGTTGCTGAATGCATTTCTGTTCCCCTTATGCAGATTTAAAAGTGGAAACCTGTTCTGTCGTGAGTCGCTTGTTGATGGGACTTGTTCATCTTCAGGATTCGCTTTCAACACAGGAGAAAACATCAATGACAGGAGTTTCAAGCTGTCCAGCTTACTTGGCTGATTGAGTTCAATGCATCCGACATCCCCTTTTAACGATCTTATACTATCTTGATGATGTTCAACTTAGTTTGGTTATGGTGTTATGGCTGGGATCAGACTTCGATTGTTTTGGCGATAAATTGAAGTTGTTTGGGGTTTCAGTAATCGGGAAGTTGCGTATTATGCGAAACAGTATTAGATTGGAAGAAAGTTAAGGGCAGCTAGACCAAGACAGTTTTCCCACTCATGAGGTCTGACCGTTTGAGCGCACATACTCAACACCTAGGCTCCTTGAGATGACAGGAGTTAGAGGTTGGAGACTAAGGGTGATTTAGTTAAAAACCGTCACAGTGATGCAGATGCAAACACTGTTTTCTCATACTAATCTAAATAACTTAACCAGCTAACTGTTACTAGTTGAACATTATCCGATCAGCTAGAGTTTTGTCTGCAGATTTTTACTGTCTGATATAATGTTCTGGCTGAGGAGTAACTAAGTTCTTATTTATTCACGTTGTATGCAGCTAGTGAAATCGTATGAAATAAGACGTCATATTTCCCTATAGGTGTCCTCGTTGCGTTATATTTATTCCTTACTAAACTTTTGATTATGTTACAGAGGTTTGCAACAGTAATTTTGGAGGTATTTCTGTAATATGATTTTAGTTATGTTTAGTGTCACATATTGGATAACGGTAGTATTGAAAAGTAGAAGAGAAATATGATTATTTCCGGCTATCTGAAAATTTAAATCTAACGCTTCAGAGTAATGTAAAACTAATCACTACGACTGTTTTATCCTTGCGCATTGAATCAGTTATGAGTGCACACTCACCCATTCGATTTGCAAGTGAGTAATTAAAAGCAACATCATGTAATCACACGAACACAGCAATCTGTCAATTAAAATGATAGTTGGGTACATGTAGTTTCATACTTTACTTAGCTGAAGCCTATTGGTTGCGGTAGCCACTACTTTTCCTATCCCTGGCCGGGTAGTGGGTGCTTACTGCTGAGGAGTTCCATGCTAGGACGAAACGGCTGTCCAGTGCTCCCAGGTTTTCAGTGGTTCCCCAACTGATGTCAGTTCATAATGAATGTGTATTATTTATTACTTAACCAGGGTTTAAAGTAGTGCGACTTATCGATGCTGAAATACAACTTAGTTTAAAATCAGTAAGGTGGCCGAATAATCTGGTAAGTGACGTTTCAAATTTTGCAAGGACTTTTTACTCCTTTACTCTTTACTCTTCTTGATTGAACGGATAGTATGCTAAGCAGTAACTGATAGCATCAGATATTCGCAACAAAGAAAATATTTTGATGCTTAGGTCTTTACTGGATATACCACAGTTAATAAAAAAAGAATGCAGCTCGATTCCAGTAAGCTGTTGAAGGAAACCAAAGACTTTCCAAATAGACCCATGGGGAAACCCATACACTTTAAGAGAAGAAGTGATAGCAAGCGAATATAACAGCGCTGTATATTCCAAATCGCTTTCCCCTCAGGTAAAAAATTTTGAGCGTCAATTTTCGGCATATGCTGCTGTATTGTCATTATAACATTGGCGGATAAACTGGCTATTCAGTAGACCAATCAGAACTCGCTTATTTTTATTTGCATGAAATTAATATGCAAACGATTTCATTTTGACTGGCAAAAATTGTTCCTGCAGTTACTGATCAACCTTTGTTTCCTGAGTTTTTCGTGGTTCAGTGAGGCCCAAGGTACTGAGGAGAACAGTTATTATTCGTGTACAGTTGGAGCATACTGGTGTATGGACTGTCATCATCCATTTATTTACGTCCAAAAATTCGCTCAATTACTTAACTGATATATCAGTAATCGTTAATAAACTGGTAAAAACACCTGCACTAGATTGTTGAGTTGTGATATCTTTTAATTTCCTGTCCCTTTTGTCTACACTTCTGGTTATTTGGACTGATACATGCGTTTTAACTTTGTTCAATCTGCTAGTGTTCATCTAGTCTGACTATTGAGATGGGTCTTTTCACACCACTGATTGGTCAGTCTTATACGCTGTGTGACAACTGTTTACTCGTCAACCTTTCTATAAATTAATCAATTAAGGATTAGTTGAAAGAAGCCCATGCAAGGTTTTCTTCACAACTTTTAAACTTGTTAAGTGGTATACTGGCCGTCATTACTATCAATCCTGACCGATAGCTGCTACCTTGACGTGGTGGTCGGGCTTGCATATTAAAATGACCCGACGAGCTATGCTGGTGGAACGCTTGTCCCCTCGAGGTCCTACCATACCAGAAAGGTCTGTTGGATAGTGGTTAGAGGAAAAGCAGTTACCGTTGTGGTGTAAATTGCTACACTATGGTGGGGGTATAAGGGCGAAGTCGTACTGCTGCTTGCTGGATGGGGTGTGACAGCAGTAAGGTGTTTCCCTTGGATGACCAGCAGTGCCATGCTGATGCTGCCTTCTTAGTGGAAGGTGTGGGGGGGGGGGTTAGAAAAGGTCGGTCCCAAAAATAACACTCCATGACGCCCCACAGTCTTCCGGCAGGCGGTGTTGGTTCATTTGTCGTTTCCTTTCGACTATCCGGCCCCAAAAATACAAAAGTTCAAAATAATCATACTGGAAAGGCTTCATGTGACAGGTCTCAAGCAGATGTCCGATGTGCTCTGCGGTCACACAAATCTCTTTCAGGTACCTTAAGAAGAAATCAATCAATCATTATCAGTATAGGACCAGGCAAGAAGAAATAGCCTTCCACTGTGTGGGCAACCGGGAAGTGTCAACCGCCCTCGCAACTCGATCAGCACTCAAGTTTCTTCTGACTGCTATCCATCTCCTCCATCATTACTATCAATCAAGAAACTGTTCGCAATATAATTGACCTGTACAAAAGAAATATTTAGAAGACAGACTGGGATTACCATTTCTGATTTCTATATCATTGTATTGGATGCTGTCTTTGACAGGTCTGCTACGTAGCTCGGTATATCATCTTTTTGTGGCTTTTGCAACTTGACATTCCTAGAAATCCTCTTTATGAATCAGTTTTGTTCGATTTATTCTTA